ATGCATTATCGACACTACCACTAAAAAAATGTGTAAAAGGACACGCCTGTCCTTTCTTGAAAGTCACATCTATATTGGCGAGGTGAGGACATGTAGAAATTATACACTGAATTACCCTAGTTCGAGTCCCGTAGGAGAGGTCGAAGCTGCAGGGCAGTGTAACCCTATTGAGAATACATTTTGATCAACAAGGCTATGCTAAATTAAATGGAAATGTGAGACCTACTCATATGATTGTAGGGGAATTCAACTACCACTTCATCACTTAAAATGAAATAGCGTAAATACAGCTCTTATACATAACTTAATAATAATCCCGAAACCTACTTAAAAACATATATCTTGCAAGTAACTCACATTGTTATGAAAGTAAATGGTTTCCAACTTGTCAAGAAGCCTCACGTGCAGTTGATTGGCGGCTTGTTTAATTGGCTTCGCGGGTTTATACGTTAACAACACTTGTCACTTGTAGTTTATTGAAATATTTCGTTTTAATAAACCAATCCCTTGTGTTTGAGAGCAAATGACTACTAAATAATTTTCAAAATGATGAATCATGATGAACCGGAGCAGCGCAGTACTCAAGATCATAAGTTGTCTCTTTACTTCCTTTTAGGAGACATCTAAAAATGAATACTGAGTCTTTAAGGGGCCGAGAGAACCCGCCTCTCCTTTTTTTGGAAGTTGTGGATAAAGGCTATCTTTAGGTTATGCGCTCAAATATGATAATACTTGCAAGAACTCGCTTCTTGCACAAATTAAGGATAAATGGTCTTGGCTGAATGTCTAGTTGTCTACTCTCATATCTTAGTCATTGTATACCATTTCAGCCTTCCCTGAATTAAAAAGATTTGTCTTGAAGAACAAGATGGTGTGGCCGTTTGTGTGGTCGCAGTCTCTTTTCGATGTATATTAGTTGTTTGACTTTCTTCTTATCACCTCCACTAATTACATTAAATTGTGTAAGTATTGGTATCATAAGTAGCAATACTATAATAATCAAATATAAATAGTGCAAATAAATAAATATAATAGTAGCATAGTATTTGCTAGATAAATTTTACAAGTAAATAGTATAAGTGGTACAAGTAAAAGTATTGAGTCATGCGTAGTGTGATAGTACAGTGCAGTAGGATAGCGTAGCGGTATAAGTTACTTTTCTTCACTGACAGCCTATTTAAGGCAGTACAGTGTCATCTTTTTTAAAACGAGTCAATATTCATATTATTGCCCTCCATCTCTTGCCACTTGTTGCTGCCTACTGCAAGCATGGCATTTATTTGACAATGCTTTCATTTATGCTTCTATCTTCATCACTGCCATTCTTGCCGATACTTCCAGTAGAGGCATTTTACGCTTGCTTTCTTTATAAAAATATATAAAAGCTAGTTTTATGATTAGATTTTAAGCATAGTTAATATTTCTACTTTTCACAGAAGCCGTTCCTCTAGAAGTGTACGAGGCTGAGTCGCGAAGACTGAGCAATCTTGAAGCCAACGAACTGAAGCTGACACAACGTGTCGAACAACTTAAGGAGGTTGCATTCATTGCGGCCAACCAGCTTCAGGCGATGGAGGCTGAGCAGTCGGCACGGGACACCGAAGTGGCAGGTCTCCGCCAACAGTTGATAGAAATGGAGGCGAGCAGCGATGATCGGGCAGATCTGGGTCGTCTGCACCGCCATCTGATTCGCTTGCAGGTCTTATCGTTGTAACTATCACTACTTGTGAACATTTGAGCAACCGGTTTCGTCTTTTATTTAGTCCAGTTTAGAGCATTATCCCTTGCCGACAGGCCAAGTTTTTCACATTGTGACACAAAGGCCAACATCTGCGGCCTCAAATGTGCTATAAGGCGACATGGGAACTCTGAAAAATGGAATAAATGGAAAGAGAAAACGGAGTTAGAGGTAAATAACAAGATTTCAGCTTTATGTTCGTACACAATTAATGTGAGTATAGCCTGTTTTGGGTTTTTAGAAAAAAAATTCGTCCAAATACTTCTCATGAGCTGTTCATTTCATAGGCATGTTTCTCAGAGACCTAAGTCATAATGCTTCTCTGCCCTGTTCTCTGGGCCAGGGAATACAGGCTGTGGCTGTATCACACATTCTAAGGTCTGGTCATTTGCACCACTACTCTCATGTTGCGATTATTATTCATTTCTTGATTCGGTATTTGTTTGGATTGAGGCCTATTCTTGCTATAGAGAGACATAATTAAGTTGCTCA